GATCTGATGTTGATTCTTACATCAGTTTGCCCCTTGTCCCTCATACTGAAGAATCTAACTTTGATATTTTGGAGGTTTGGAAAAATCAAAGTATTTCATATATCCGATACTTTCTCACATGGCGAGAGATATATTGGTTATTCCAATTACTTCAGTTGCATCTGAATCGTCTTTTAGTATGGGGGTCGAATTTTGAACAAATTAAGAGCTAAACTCTTACTAAAAATGTTGAGATTTTTGTAACAATCCGTAATTGGTTGTATGATTTTGAGTCAGGCGATAAAGATAAAAAAATACCTTACTGTGGTTAATGAGTCTTCTATGTAAATGTATGCCAAATAGTTTTATTTTTTATGTTAATGTCATTAATATTTCAAATTGTTTATTAATTATTTTAATTTTAATTTTAATTTTTAGGGTGTTTAACATTCAGTGAAACCATTGGAATTGGAGATTCTGTCTTGTTTCTTCCCTTTACAGGTAATTTCTATTTACTAATGTGTAACAACCCAGATATTTTCAAAATAATATTTAATTGAAATTGGAGGTTTTAATTGTGAAAATTGGTAAATTGTGGGGACTAAATTGAAAGATTTTAAAACTTGGAGCTTGTTTTAGAGTTAAAAAAAATTCAGGGACTAAGCCTTGAATTTACCCAAGAAAGTTAGGTATGTTATGTTATAAACGTGGTTTTCTGTTTCAAACAAAAAACCACACCTCAATTGCTCCCAAATTCCCTTCCCCCTACGCCGGTTTCCGACTTATATCCCGACGCCGTTCGACCTCCAATCGTAAAATTGAAACCACCGTCGTGTTCATCTTCGACCCGTGAAAAAAAACCCAGTAAATCAATTATAGCGAAACGCTGCCAAACGACGGGAATTTCGAGTCAAAGTCTCGACGTTTTTTTAGCACTACCGCTGAGAAAATCTTAAATTCATATCCGATCGTTGATCGGTTTTCGACACCTACCGCACCATCGTGTTCCTTGTGCCGTTTCGAGTCTGCCGGTGCCAACCTTGGTCTTCGTCGACGGCGGCGCGTGAGGGGATGGAGCAGTCAAAGATTCGGCCGAGTTGAAATCGAGCTCTCCGCCGTTCAAAAATTTGAACCGATCTTTGTAAGTATCTCGAAATCGCTCAAAATAATTTTTAGAAATTTTTCCGTAATTTTTAGACCCCCAGAGGAGGCCTCACGCGCCACACGCGCCGCCGTAGGGAGAGTGAGTGGCTGAAAACCGGTTTTGAACCAGTTTCGACCGGTTCGAACCGGTTTGACCGGTCTGACCCGACCCGACCGACCCGACCGTTGACCCGACCCGACCGTTGACCGTTGACTTCCTTTGATCAAAACTTAAAATGGCTTTGACCGACCATTAAACGACCGTTAATCTTTTCTGAGTATACCTATTCTGATAGTTTTCGATGTCCCGAATTCGTTTCCGAAGTCCGTTTCGTCAAATTCAAACCCGAAGGCCTCTAAATCGACGGTCAAAGTGGTTGACTTTGACTTTGACCAAGAATTTAAATTTGTGAAAAGACATACTTTATGTTTTTCGACGTTCTGATTCCGATTCCGCAATCCGTTTGGCCAAATTCAAACCTGAAATCCTCCAAATTGATAGTCAAACCCTGAAAATGCTTATATACTTAAGAATTTAGCTTTGAACAATTAAGTAAGATTTGGGGCTGATAAATTATTATTGTTTGAAGGTACAAGAGACTCTCAGGATCGTTCGACAGCTCGACCCATCTCTTCTAGATCAATTAAAGCACGTGTGCCAGTATTCATCCGTAAGACCCATAATTTTTATGATTTTAGAGATTTATTTATGTTACCAAGTAATATAGTGTTATTATAAAATAGGTTCAAAAACTGTAGCAGAGCGTGGTGAAACCAGCAATCAGTAGATCTACTATTTGAACCTATTATCGAGGTGTGTTCCCTAATTATTACTGAACTTTTATTGGTTTTAATATGAGGTACACTTAGTTCTTTGGTTGCTGTTTTATTGATGCACCAATTTAATGTGATGATTTATGGAATTTGTGTCACGGTGCAATTGAACTTTTGGATTGAATTACAATAGTATAGCTCTGATCAAGCTAATAAACAGAATGGGCCTAATGTGACTCTTGGGGCCCCAAGATGCATTAGGTTGGCTTCCCTTGCTGTGTGCTTAGGGTAAGCTATATGGACTTGGACTTACGGGCTTAAGGATACAAGCTCTAAAGCTTATCCTTAGGTTGGCTTTCTTTTTGCTGTGCGCTTAGAGTAAGCTATATGGAAAATAGTTTTGGAAATTACTGATGGTGTACAAGAAAAGAGTTTAAACTATGATTTTCAAAAGTTAAACTCTTTTATGAATTTATGAGATTTACTGGACTATGATTTGTTTAATGTACCTAATGTGATTTTAAGGTAATATTGGGACACACTGAGCCTAGCTCACCTTTCGAAAATGTTTTTCCCCCTTTCAGATACTGTTGGTTAGATACCCCAGATTGAGCACTTGGAGGATCAACATATCTCTTGAAGTATATTTGATTGTAATGTTTTTATCATTCAGGTTGACTTTATTTTGGTGACATGGACCTTATTTTAAAGTATTGGATTTTATAGTGATTACACTTTTGCTATTAATATTCGGTTTAACGTGATTTTGATTTTTTTAAGACATGTTTTAAATTAATTTTTTTACTTATTGGTATTATATTTATGAGTTGGGTTTTGATAGTATAATATCATGTCATTTATAATGTGATTTTACAATGATTGAATAACGGTTTCAGAAAATGTCTTTAAGAATCATGTATGTGATCCACTAAACTTAGTCGAAACGCATAGGCCGGGTCTAGGGGGTTAGATAATGACTTATTATATTTATTATGTTTAACAATATCTAAAACCATTGTTTACTAATGTTTATGTTTTTGTTGGGTACCTTGCAAGTTACAACAAACATCATTCTAAATGCTTATTGTTGCTTTTTTCCTCATTCTATTTGATATTGTTTTTGTTATTCTAAACTATATTGAATGCCTGATTCTGTAAGAGTTTGGTAAAGTCAGAAATGTTTGGCATTATTGGCCATCGTATTCCCTTTGGCTTTACCACTGATTGCATGCTTGTTTAATGCAGAAGTGTTGGATGCTGCTGCCTGTTGGATGTTGCTGCCTTGTAATTTATTTTGTTGGTCTGACTTGAATAAATTGTTGTAACTTTTCATTTCTTTTCTATATTAATACTCATGTTAAATTATGTTGGTGGCTTTAAAGCTGAAAAGCTGAAAAGTTGCCCGTAATTTAACAATGTTGGCAGCATATAGATATTGTGATACAAAAGCTCGATGAAGAAATTTCTGGTAGCAAAGTTAGGGTTTTAGCCTTATAAAACTTTTGTTATAAGATCAGAGAGCTTACAAACACTTTTTGTTCATATTATTGTGATCTTATTGTATTCAACTGTAATAAATCAAATGTTATTCAAATTTTAGATCAACTGTTATTTACATTATCAATATCAATTAAATTAATCTTTTATATTATGTTTTATATATGTTATAATTGTTAGATAATTTTTCTTTACAAAAAATTAAACTATAAAATTTACATTTAAAATAATTTTATTATTCATGTTTAATGCCAATAAATTATTCTAACTTGTAATCATTATAATTAATTTAATTAATAATGTTCAATACATAAATTACTTAATAAAATAAAATAAAATGATTATATTGAAGATATATAACATAAGAATCATAATATAATTATTAAAATTAATATTTTATTATAAGATTTAAAAATTAATCGTATTAATTAGTATGATTTATTATAAACTTAATTTTCACAATTTTATTAAAATCTTATAATTTCATCAATGGTAATATATAAGTTAGGTAAATGTCAAGTCAGATAAATATCAAATTATATCAATAACAAATAGAATCATTTACAAGTTAGGTTGAAACCAAGTCAGGTTAAAAACAAATCAGGTAATACCAGTTATTTACCAGGTCAATCTCGGGTTCGGGTTTATATCAGTCGGGTTTAGATTCACAATTTTCATGTCCAACTAGGATTCATGTCAACACCAGTTCTGACACGAGTCAGTTTCGGATTGTCACAGCGCAAGTCAAAAATAATTTTAACTTGAGTCGGTTTCAGTCAGTTTTATAGGTCGGGTCAGCTTTTTACACCCCTACCTCCAATCAAATGTTGCTTGCATGTACTATTTGCCATGCTTCAAATGGGGGAATGATATTTGATGGTTTGAAAAAAAATAATAAATAAATAAATAATCAAATTTATTATTTATTATTGCTCTATTTAATTTTTTAAAACTAAATTTATAAAATTTAAATAAAATTAAATTTATATAAAATAAATTTAATCATAATTTATTTATAATGTTATTGGATAATAAATTTAATTTAAATAATATTTTATAATCATATATATATATATATATATTTCATAACTTTTAGTTATTAAATGAGATTTATAATTTTATTAAATAATTTATTTATGGGTATAAATGAATCAGTTGATTGGATGAAGAATTCACAAAGAGTTAGTCATGTGATCAAATTAAATAAAATATAAAATTAAACTGCAAAAAGAAAAAGAAAATTTGTTGTTAAAACTAGAAATTGAAGTTCCTATGTATTCTACAGTGATTGAGTAACAAATGATTCAAATTTGGTCAAAAATAAATTTTAAACAAAGAAGGAACAAAAGGAATGAGAGAATCAAAGACTAAATTATAGAAAATAATTACTTAAAACCAAAGAACATTTTAGTTTTCAATTATTTGAACTTTATAAATTCAGACTCGAAATACAAACGAAAAATTCAAGTTGTCCTAAATAATATGAAATTAAATCGAGTTTTGTTTAAACATTAACTGGTGTAATATTTATGGGTCACCTATGAATTCAAGGCTATGTTTTTATTACTCGCCCAAGGAGTGAAATGCATACATGTGTATACCCGAATGAGACTTTATATATATATATATATATATAAAACAGACATTACAAGTTTATGCCCTATACTCAAACATGATCATTTTAAGTGCTCATCTAAAGCTTCGCAATTACATAGGGTGACAAGGTGAATTTGGTTCTAACTGGAAGCTTGGGATCTTCCCAATCTCCATTGTTCACCTTGGAGAAATATCCGTCAACTGTAGTATCAGTGACGAGCTCCAATTTCGACGGCTCCTGCTGGCAAAACGGAAGGTGGTTCAGTCACCGGGACTTGAATATTAATGGATTGACGATTCAGGGAAGAGAAACCTAACCTTTGGGTTCTTATCTTTATCCAGCAGTATGGCCCCGCAACCCTGTTGAGTAAGCTTTTAATCAGTTGAAGAAATGGTGAGAGCAAAAGCAAGTTAACATGCATAAATTTGAGACAGCTGAAACCTCGAAAAAGTCTTTGCTGAATTGTAGCAGAGATCCAACAGTCCCTTTGATCAACAGCCTCCCTCTCCTTTGTAAGCATGTTCACAGGTTTTCAGTTTAGGTGGCACATACAAATTGCTGGGAACTTTGTAAACAGATGCAAGAAACATTAAAAGAAAGCACCGGATTAGTGTTTCAGATAACAAACGAAGTCGAACTATCGACTTACAAGAGCAAATAAAATTTCTTCAAGCCATATGACCAATGATAATGAGGATTTAAAAAGTCTTGTCAGTCAGCTGTTAGCAAGTTTGAATTTCAAAGAATACAAATTCTAAATAATGTACTGAATCAGGGAGTTGAACGTCATTACGAAAATGCGCCTTCAGTTTACAGTTATAGGTACCTCCTCTTTCATAAACAGAATTGAAATACGAGGGTAGATACTCAGTTTCTTATATTTACCGTCAATCTCTCCCTCGGTGGAAGCAAATATCAAACCAATTATGCAGGAAAATGCATTGTTAATAGAAAACTAACCGATTGTACACACTCTGCTCTTTTAAAGAGGGTTGCTCGGAATATTGACCAATAATTGATGAAATGGTTGCTGGGTCACCGGAGTCTACAGAACATAATGCAGCTTCTAACATGGGCAATTTCTGTTGATTAAGCGAAAGATGTAAACATATAAAGTACAAAAATCATTAAAAACAGTCAAGTGAACTTTCTAAGGCATAAAGCAAGAGAGATTCACACTGCCTATTTTGGATGAAAATTAAGCAGAGATTTTGAGGATTCAAAAGAAGAGTAGGCATCAAAAACTTTCTTACAGCGGGAAAACCTATCTTGTACCAAAAGTAATCACAGTGCGACTTTCCCTCAGTTCACAAGGCACAAATAAGTAGGGAATGTATTTTCAGATTCAGTTGCTTTAGGAAATGTGGACAGATGTTTTAGCTTCTCCATACAAAGGAAAGATTTGGCTTGAGCTACAAAAGTAGCTTTATAAAATAAAGCCCCATTTAGGAAACCCTTAAAGATGAACCTGGCTATTGTTAGAAAAGTAGCTCTATACTATATAGAAGCACATGTTTATTAGGTGACAATTGTAAGTAGTGTTTAAGTTAAACTCTTAATCCTAATTTATCTCTAAAACTATCTCCTAATTTGTAGAAAATATAACTCCTATTTTATCTAGGTCTCTAATTCATGTATATAAAAAATCCCATGTTCCCTCTTGTGTAAGATGTAATTTTCCTTTGAATAAAAGTATTACAATTCTTTCACTACCGGAAAAATCTGGTTATTTACATGGTATCAGTCGTCGGCGTTGATCCCAACCTTGTTGCCGCCGCCGTTTGTCATCCTTCCGATCAACAGTGTGCTTTTAGTGCACCGTCGTCCTCCCAATCGTAAAATCCTGTCAACACGCCGTACCCATCACAGCAACAAACCCTTCGCAGCGCCGCCCTCTTCGCAGCACAGCAACTTCGCAGCGCCGTCCTCCTTGCTGCACCACCGCAGCGTTGCTCCATTGAATCGCCGCACCCTTCACAGCGCTGTCCTCATCCCAGTGCTGTTCTTTTCGCATTGCAGCACATCACCGTCGTAGACTCATCCTCCTTGTTGTGCAATCACAGCGCTGCTCTTCTCCCAATACTGCTCTCCTCACAGTACCGCTTCTGTCGCACTGCTGCTCTCTTCGCCATCTTGCTCTCATCGCGTCACTGGTCCAGCGCTGCCCTCATCACATCGGCAGTCCTTCCCCGCTGTTTGGTCATTGTTCGGCCAGCCCAGTCTCCCCGTAACACAACCTTCAATTCCTTTTCTCAGAAGTTATGACGTATCCTTCTTCATCTAATCTTCCATCCGAGGCTGAAAATTCCATTATCCATTCGTCTCCTTCCGAATCGGTTTCCTCGTCCATTAGTTTTCATTGTCTAAATGGTGAGAATTACATTGCATGGTCTCAATCCATGCATCTATTCATCACCAGTCACCGAAAACAACAATATCTCTCTAATAATATACCGGTCCCCGATCCCTTCGATCCCCAATACGATACTTGGCTCACCGAGAACACCAAAATCATGTCGTGGCTCCTCAACTCTATGTTGCATGACATTAGCGTGAACTTCATGCTCTACACCACTACTTCGGAAATCTAGAATGCTGCTAATGAGACACTCCAATAAGGAAAACTCGTCCGCTCTGTTTTCTATTGAATGTCGGATCAATGACTTGAAGCAGGGCGATCTTACTGTTACGGAATACTTCACTCATTTGTCTCGCTTATGGAAGCAAATTGATATGTTCGAAACTCCTGCTTGGCAAACCGGTGCAGATGCCAAACTCTACAAAGGGCTGCTTGAAAAACGACGTATTTTTCAATTCCTGTCGAGGCTATCTGTCTCTCTTGATGATGTTCGTGGCCGGATTCTAGGCATCAGACCTCTTATGTCTCTTCGCGAGATGTTCTCTGAGGTCCGCCGCAAAGAAAGCTGCTGCTCTCTGATGCTTTCGCCATCCATTGAAAGTCATGCCTTGAATACCCATTCCTTCAGTGACACACGTGTCAAGAAAGGCCGTCCCTAGTGCGATCTTTGTCGGAAACCTGGTCATGTTCGTGATAAATGCTGGAAGCTATATGGTCGTCCGGCCAACTAGACTCCATCGAAATCCTCATTGCGTCCATCCCACGGTAACTCTATTGTAAAAAAATTGGAAGGTGGTTCCTTTTCTTGTCAACAGCTGGATGATCTACGACAGCTGTTTGGTCATTTACAGATTCCACCTGCTCCTGAGCCCAAGTCTGCCTGCACTATTAGCGAAGGTAGTTCTCTTTTTGCCTCCTTATCCCCTTCACCTGGATGTGTCTCTTGGATTGTTGATTCCAGAGCAAGTGATCATATGACAGACAACTTCAGTTTATTTTCAACGTTTCACAAAAATGGTATCTCATGTAGTGTTCGTACTACTGATGGCTCCCTATCACCGGTTAAGGGCAGTGGCTCGGTTCGCATTAATAGCCGAATTATTCTGTCTAATGTTTTATTTGTTCTAAGTTTGACTTGTAATCTTCTTTCGATTAGCAATTATCTACCAATTTGGGTTGTACTTCTCATTTTACTCGTGATCATTGTGAATTTCAGGTTTTGACATGGGGATGGTGATTGGCAATGCTAGGCGTCGTGGTGGACTCTACATCCTTGACGCTCCTCCTTATGCTCCCGTTCCGAACCACTCATTCACACCATTTATTTCTTCCTTTATTTCAGTTTTTCCTACAGATGTGGCTGTCGACATTGTTTTATGGCATTTTAGGTTAGGTCACCCAAGTTTTCCTTATCTTGCAAAATTGTTTCCAAAATTATTTATTAATAAAAATCCCGCATCATTTTCTTGTGAAATTTGTTCTCTTGCAAAACACATTCGGAGCTCTTATCCTCCTCCCTCCCGCTCACCTAAACCTTTTTCCTTAATTCATAGTGACATCTGGGGACCTTCACGGGTTACGGGTTTACATGGAATTCATTGGTTTATTACCTTTATTGATGACCACTCTCGTACCACTTGGACCTTTCTTATGAAGGACAAATCTGAGTCTTTTATCATCTTCAAATGCTTCCACAAAATGGTTGAAACACAATTCCAAAGTTCCATTGACATCCTTAAATCTGATAATGGTGGGGAATACCTCTCTCAATCATTGGGATCTTTCTTCTAGGAAAACAGAATAGTCCACCTCACTTTCTGTGTCGACACTCTACAACAAAATGGAGTCATCGAACGTAAAAACTGTCATATTCTTGAGGTAACCCGAGCACTCCTTTTTTCTTCTAATATTCCGAAATACCTTTGGGTGAGGCTCTCTTAACAGCTACTTTTATAATCAATCGTTTGCCTAGTAAGATTCTTGCCTTTAAGTGTCCACGAGATATCCTTTCCACTAAATTCCCTCATTTCAAACCTTTTACCTCTTCTGTTCCACTTCGTGTCTTTGGTTGTACTGCCTTTGTCCATGACCATAATCCTCATAAATCTAAACTTGATCCTCGGGCAATTTAGTGTGTCTTTGTTGGTTATTCATCCTATCAGAAAGATTATCGTTGCTACTCTCCTTCTACAAAATGGTTCTTCACACCTGTGAATGTCACTTTTCAAGAGCATAAACCATTCTTATCAAAAACCGAAATCCAGGGGGAGAGTGAGTTTGAATTTCAATTTTTACCGATTATTACTGAGTTACCCATCAAACTATCTTCTAATGAAAAAACTACCACTCCACTACCTCTTAACACCACCACATCTGATAATAAAAACCAATCCATTAATCCCACCGACTCTCATAAAACACCCATGCCATCTATCGATATTCTCACCTACACAAGACGGCCCAAACAAGCCCTACCTTCCACACCGCAGCCACTGTATAGTCAAGAGCCAAAACCAGGTTTAAATCCATCGACAGACAATGGAGATGATGGCCAAAGTAAGTTGGATGTGATAATTGATACTAGCGAGTTACCAATTGCTCAAAGAAAGGGAGTTAAACGATGTACAACTCATCCGATTAGTAAATTTGTTGCTTATGGGAAACTAATGTATGATTTTAAGACTTTCACATTTTAGGTTGGTCATATTCACATTCCAGAAACCATAGAGACATTAAAAAATCCCGAGTGGAAGAAGGCAGTTGAAGAAGAAATTTCAGCTCTAGAGAACAACAAAACCTTGGTCATCGTTGATCTACCTAAAGACAAGAAACCAGTCGGCTGCAAATGGGTCTTTACTGTGAAATTCAAGGCAGATGGAAAAATTGAGAGATATAAGGCTAGACTTATGGAAAAAGGGTTCACTCAGACATATGAAGTTGACTATCAGGAGACCTTTGCTCCAGTTGCAAAACTCAACACTGTTCGAGTTCTATTATCCTTGGCAGCAAACAAGGATTGGATACTTCACCAACTAGACGTGATAAATGCATTTCTCAATGATAATCTTGAAGAAGTCTATATGCAAGTTCCACCAGGAATTCATTCTGGAAATAACTGGGTATGTACACTACTGAAATCTTTATATGGCCTAAAACAATCACCTAGAGCTTGGTTTGATAGATTCACGAAGGTAATAATACAAGACAACTACAAACAGTGTCAATTCGATCACTCTGTTTGTAAAAATTGCTCCAGATAAGAAGTCAATCTTGATTGTCTACGTTGATGATATCATCATCACTAGTGATGACTTAGTAGAAATCGAAAAGTTGAAGATTTTACTAGCAAAGGAGTTTGAAACCAAAGACTTGGGAACTCTAAGATATTTTGTAGGCATGGAGGTTGCAAGATCATGAGAAGGAATTGTCATAAATCAAAGAAAGTATATTCTAGACTTACTTTCTGAAACTGGAATGACTAATTGTAAGCCCTCGGAAACTCCTATGGAAGTTAACTTAAAATTGAGTAAAGTTGGAAACCCGATAAACAAGGAACATTATCAGAGGTTAGTGGGTAAACTCATTTATCTATCTCTAACTAGACCTGACATTGCTTTTACAGTTAGCATTATTAGTCAATATATGAATGATCGAGAAGAACATATGAAGGCAGTCAATCAAATCTTAAGATATCTAAAGATGACACCAGGACATGGGTTGATTTTCAGAAAACATGAAGACAGACCAGTTAAAATCTTCTCAGATTCAAGCTGGGCTGGAGAATTAACATATAGAAGGTCAACCTCAGGATATTGCTCATTTGTATGGGGAAACCTAATAACATGGAGGAGCAAGAAACAATCAGTAGACTCCAGGAGCAGTGCAGAAGCAGAATATAGGGCGATAGCACTCGGGATGTGTGAAGGAATTTGGCTTCAAAGACTCTTAACCGAACCAAAGATGTGCGACAACAACTATTTTGAACTTCAAAGTGACCGCAAATCTGCGATAAGCATTGCAAAGAATCCGGTGCACCACGACAAAACAAAACATGTGGAGATCGATAGAAACTTTATTGCAAAAAAAGTAAATGGCAGAACTGTGAAACTAAACTACGTCTCTTCACAAAACCAGCTAGCAGATGTATTGACCAAGGTACTTCCAAGGATTACCTTTGACGAAATTGCATCCAAGCTAGGTCTTCACAAAATTTACTCCCCAGCTTGAGGGGGAGTGTAAGTAATGTATAAGTTAAACTCTTAATCCTAATTTATCTCTAAAACTATCACCTAATTTGTAGAAAATATATGACTCCTATTTTATCTAGGTCTCTAATACATGTATATAAAAATCCCATGTGCCCTCTTGTGTAAGATGTAATTTTCCTTTGAATAAAAGTATTTCAATTCTTTCACTACTGGAAAAATCTGGTTATTTACAATAGTAACTCCTTTAACTTTCAAATATTAATGTCTAAAATTTAAAAAGAATAAGAAACATGCATGCTAACTTTACTAGCGAAAGGAAAAACAAAGCTGACACGTTATGTGCTTCCTCAATCATGTTTTCTCAACCAACCGGAATAAATTTACATTTGTCTCAAATATATCTTGAACTCAACCATATTTTAAGTTGGGAAGCATACTACTGAAGGTACAAAAATAGTTGCTAAGCTACATTCAAGCAGTTCTGCACCATCCAATCTGGCACCAGTAAGAGAGAGATACTCTCCTGCCAGAAGATGATGCGCTATGTGAAGCTAAACATAAAACAAATTCCAGTATACAAGTTTTTGGCTAGCTAGAAGAAATGAATACAACTTGAATCAATTCTGTTAACCAAAATAAAACTCGACAAAGCCCAAAGATAGCTATTGTAGCTATCATTAAGGAGAACCCAATTTACGGAGCCTTACTGCCTTTGCATTTTTTCTTGTAACTGTATAAGGCATTAGCCAAAATCCAGGATACTACCGAAGAGATGAACCTTTTTTTTAAAGGATTTAGGCTTAGGATATGAAATTTTAAAAAAAGAAGTAATTAAAGGGAATGTATAAGATATTCAAGAATATAAATGGGAGTACCGAAAAATCCTGGGAGTCTTGACAAGAAATAGAAGGCTCCTACATCTGGGAAGAGTCCTAAATCTGCTTCAGGGATTGCAAAAAGCTACACAATATCCAATATATAAACATTTAGAAAGAGAAAACCAATCTGCTACACCTAGCATCTGATTCTGACAAAAATAATAGAAAATGTAAAAAGTAGACAAGATATAGGGAAGCGACATCACATTATTTTAGCAAACAATTCTAATAGAGCCATTTTTCTTCTAATTTACGCAAGGAACTTCTAAAGTATTTCAAAGGAGACGAGAGAAATTCCGAGTCCTCAGTAGCAACACGGAATCTACCATGTATTGAAGCACCATTCCCACCTCCCATAACGATTCCATTATGAATTGAAACCTTCAATGAGATTTGCATTTTCACAATTAGAAAAATCATAAGCATACATGATATAGGCAAAAGTAAGCATAGCCTTAAATGCTCTTTTATGAAATTTTACTTGGGATTTGTTTGTTTAACTGAAAAGGACTTATAGATCAAACCAAAAAGAAAGGGAAAAAGAGACAAAAATTAACATGGTCAAAGGAACAACCCTCTTCCCTCCCTCTTGTGACCTCAACAACTGAATTTTGTCTTCCTCTGCTCAATTACAACTTCCTCTGTCTTCTTCTCCAGTACAACTTCCATGTTTCTCCTCCCTCAATATCTCCCCCCACCCACCCCTTTTCCATTAAAAAATAAGATCACAACCAAAACACCCTGCTCAGAAACTAGTCATTTGATTTCACCCTTTCTTCACTCTAATTTTGGTAAGTTACAAGATTTTTGTTTTCTTTTATACTCAAATTCAGGTTATATATATAGATAGATAGATGGATAAAGATATTGTTCCAAAACACCCAGCTCGGAAACTTATCAATTGATTTCACACTTTCTTCACTCCATGTTTGTTAAATTTCCAGATTTTGTATTCTTTTATGCTCAAATTAAGATTTCTTTATTGTTCATAACTTGTTTGAGGATCTATTATATGAAATCGAAGAATAGTTTTATGTATTGTTTTGTATGTATTTCACATGATTTTGGTCAGGAATCATTTGGTGTTCCATTTAATTATTATTAACTTTTATCGACTTGAAATTTAATATGATCATGGCTAAAACATGATTCAAGTGGCTTCAAAGAATTTTGTTGCTGATTTCGTTGATTATATGGTTATTTCTGATTCATAAATTCAATTCTTCTAATTATTTAGATGGTGTGAAAAAGTTACTGAGGTGTAAATTAACCACTGATGAAGAGTCTTGAAGATATTTTCCATCTAGGAAGGCAAACTGTTTCTCACAATGTTATCCAAACAACAAAAAAAATAGCATTTAAGAGAAATGCTTTGAGGAAAAGGCTATGTTTCCTGGAAGAACATTTTTTAGAAATAAACGGAGCCATAAAGCCATTTGGGTTACCTGCGGTTTGCTATAGGTTGCCATCAAATAGTTTACAGCGTATTCTTTCATAAAAAAGTTGGCACCTGTTCCCCATCCACCTAAAGCATATAGATGCATAACAAAAGGTCATTGACTTTAAATTCCTCCAACAAACAAGAAGGAATAAGAAGACACATTTGGCTCTTCAAATGTGGTAGGTGGTCCACTGTGCTAGCCAAAGAGCAATAAAAAATGGTAGCAAACATGAAGAAGACAAAGAGGAAACACAGGTTAGAGTAAACTAATAATGTAACTTATCAACCTTTTAGATCTAAATGATCTGTACTATCTGGTATCAACAAGAAATGAATGAATCCATACCTGCTCTAATATCATGTACCACAGCTGCAACTTCTCCACCAGCACAAAATGCTCTTCCTTTCCCCTAATGACAAATAGCCAGCTATCAGGTATATTCTCTTCAATGCTAAAACATTGGCTTGCAAAATCAATGAAGGAACATAGTCTTACCAAAGGGTTGAGTCAAATACGATGAATTTTGTACCTAGAAATTCTTCCAAAAATCAATATAAAAAGCTTACTTAACTCAAAAATTAACTAAGTCTTTCAGCACAGCCATTACGGAATATCGATGGTCAAAACTGAGCAGACACTGCCTCTCTAAAGTTTATTTACTCTGCCAATTAAGTGGCAATGATGAGAAGTAAATTCCTAACTGGCCTTCACCTAGAACCATATATGATTAATAATGCTAATATGTAAAGCCCAATTATACTTCCAAAAGGAATGCTGACAGAGATTAGAAATTAAACATAGTCATGATTTTCAAGCTGATGTGCTGCAATAGTTAACCAAAAATACATATACCCTTTCCATTGGACATTCTAAGAATATGCAAGTAAAATTGTCAAACCCAAAATGTGCTGTCAAACAATCTGGTTGAGTGACTTGGTATGAGATAAGAGCAGATGCCAGGCACACTTGTAATGCAACACCAAAAAATTTCATCGGACTCAAATGTCTTACGATTTCATGTTTGTCAGAAAATAAATTCCTAAATTAGAAATATTATGAGTAATTAAGATAGTATTCTATAGATATTCCTTAGTAGTTGTAATCCTTAACTTTAAGGGGCCGTTTGGTTCACGGCATACAACATTACCGGGGGAATGGAATCCTCATTCTCCCGTTTGGTTGGCCAGTAATCTTATTCCCGATAATCTTTTATTACCAACAATGGATTTTTTTGGGGTATATTACCGGGAATGTGATTACCCCCATTCTTTAGGTATTGTTGGATTACCGGCGTTTTGGACTAAAATGCCCTTAATTTTTTTTTAAAAATTATCCTTCTTCTGTCGTTAAACAATAAAAATTCTATGAAGGTTAAATTACAAATTTATCCTTAAATTATTTTAGATTTACAAAAAATTCCATAATTATAATTTTATATGAAGTTTAGGGGTTAAAATAAAATTTTACCCTTTCAAAACCTATTTATCTTTTCAATTTTGTAAAAAAAATTATATAAATTTTATGAATTTAAATTTTTTAAAGAAAATATATAAATTAATTATAGTAATATTATAGTAGAATTTAACTTGTTAGAAAACAAATATATAATAAGGACAATTTGGTAAAATATACATTCCAATAATCTTTTATTCCTTTAACCAAACACGGTAATCTTACATTCCTACTAAACCAACCAAACACAAAATACAACATTTCCAGTAATCCTATTCCCTGGTAATCATTTATTCCCACTAGTAATCTTACATTCCGTGAACCAAACACATTTGTGTATTCCTTAGAATTAGCTACTTTCCTAGTTTAAGAGTTTCCTAAGTTAAGGCTGCTACTTGTATAAATATGTAACACTACCTACAGCAGAAATACATGAGTTTTACATAGAATTTCATTGTGTTTTTAACATGGTATCAAAGCCATTTTAAGCTCATGTTTGGGTCCTGTTAAGCTCGTTTTGCACCCTTTCCCTCTAGTTGATTCTTCCTTTAGCGCGTACTGTTATCCGAACAAAAAAGATGGTCAAAGTGGCTGACACCAGCAACACTGAAACTGTCCAAGGAGGAAATGTGAGTGAAGGGAGTTATTCCAATTCTGTAGGTGACTTGAAGAATATACAGGCCGCTTATAGGTTGAATGGAAAAGATTACCTCAAATGGTCTGAGCTTGTTCGCACGTTCCTAAAAGGTAGAGGCAAGTTAAGTCATCTACTTGGGACTGGACTTAAGGAAGGAGATCCTAGGTTCGAATCTTGGGATGAACAAGATTCATTAGTAATTTCCTGATTATGGAATTCCATGGTGCCAGAGATTAGCGATATATGTATGTTCCTTAATACAGATCAAGAGATATGGGAGGCTGTAAAACAAATGTAATCAAAGGTTAAAGATGCTGCCCAAATTTATGAAATCAAGACTAAGATTTCATCCACAAAACAGGTAAGCAAGTCAATCACAAAATATTCTTTTTGTTTTTTCTTTTTGAAAGAGAACATATTATTAATGTAATAAGAAGAAAAAACAAAGCACGAGATCACGTTAAAAACCTCCCTAACTTATATGGAGGAAAAAGAGGCTGCTCCCAAAGAACAACACAGCCTAAAACACCCAATGCAGAACAAAGCTTCACCCTAAGAACATCACAGCCAATCTAAACACAAAATCAAATTTAACCAAAGATAACACCAGCAGCCAGCTTCGCGAGGGAGTCTGCAGCCATATTCCTGCTTCTAGGAATGTGTTTAATTAAGAAATTTCTTTTAAAAACAGTCTCTGCTACCGGTCTAAGGACTCCCCCTCGAGAGGAATCAAATTCGGATTTTTAAGCCAAGTCACAACCGATTCACAGTCGTATTCTAGAATAAGGCCCGATGAATCGACCCAAGTAGAGCATATAAACCAATTCACCACGTGCTCCCCTGCTAATATTTCTGCCAGAATCAAAGACCCTCGCCCTATAGGAATCGAGAATGAAAACAACGAATTACCATTTGAATCCCTTAAAATTCCCCCAATGCCTCCACCGCTTCCGTCAGCCTGCATAGACCCATTGATATTAAACGTTAAAAAACCAGTAGGAGGGGGGATCCAGGCCAGCGAAAGTTTCGAAGGTCTCTTAGTGAGGAGGCCATCCTTTGCAATCAAGAGATTGGCAGCCAGATTCTTCAAGGTGAAAGGAGCCGAAGGAAACTTGGCCAAATCCAGCAAGCAATCTGATATTTAATCAAGAAAATCAGATGAAGCCCATCAAAACTTTTTTGATTGAAGATCATATAGTTCCTGACAAGCCAGGTAGACCAGATGATCGCAAAAGGTAGCAGACTCCAGATTAATCTGTAAGGCGTTCCCATGGGGAGAAACTCGCACCAAGCCTGCAGGAAGTTGATAGGCTCCTCAGGGAAAGCTGTTACAACCCCCCAGAGAGACGGGAAAAAGCCCTACACTTTCCAAACTACCACGCAAGAAAATAGGAGGTGTTCCAAGGACTCTGGCGAACCTAGGCAAAGCGGGACATCGAAGATCCAGGACTACGACTCGCCTCTTTTGAAGATAAACTCTGACTGGGATTCGACGTCGAAGCACTCTCCAGATAAAGGCTTCAACTCTGAAGGGTGCGATGCCTAACCAAACGTTCTTCCTCCAATTAAATTCGGACCTATCCCTTGAGCAAGGTACATTTGATGCTGATCTAACCGTATAGACTCCGTCACCTGCACCCAACCACTTCACCCAATCCGACAACACAATCAATTCTCCCACTGTCCCCTCTCCCAATAGAAAACTCCCATCCTTGACGGAATATTCCAGCACCACCCTGCCTCGTTCTTAACCCCATAGTCGGATATTGGTTACGTTTTATTGATCGCCAACGCATATATCCTTGGAAACAATTCTTGCAGTGGACGGTCACCAAGCCACTTGTCTTACCAAAACCTAATTGACTTGCCATCCCCAACTTGAATATGAAACAAATCCTTCAAACGAAATTCATCACTCGCCCCAGCAAACGTAGAGATAAAATAGCGCCAAACCCACGAAGCTCCATGAGAAGCTGAGGTAGGAGGTAGTATGGCCAAAGGGTCCGGCTTGTTTTTTGCCGAAATAACGAGTTTCCAAGGGCTTACTTTTTCGTTGCAATAACGCCAACTCCACTTACCAAGAAAACCCAAATTTTTGTTCGTCAAGTCTACAAAGCCAAGTCCACCTGCCTCCATTGGCTTGCAAACCTCAGTCCACTTTAGCCAGTGAATAGTCTGTTTGTGTGAGAACCTACCCATAAAAACCTCGAAAACAAACCATTTAATTTCTTGTAAACCGAAGCAGGTATTTTAAAGAGAGACAAGAAGTATGTGGGTAGGTTAGAGAGAGCACAGATTTTATTAACGCGACTCGTCCGCCGAACGAAAGTAAAATTGATTTCCAGCCAGCAAGTCTCCTTTCCACCTTCTCAATTACCGGTACCCACAGCCGAGCAGACTTTCGCGAAGCCCCGAGAGGAAGTCCCAAATAGGTAGAGGGGAAGGATCCAATCGAACACCCGATTGATTCTGCCCTTACTTTCACAACATCCACATCTACATTAACTCCAAACATTGTACATTTCTTTAGGTTCAATTCAAGGCCCGAAACAAGCTCGAAGACTCTGAGAACCACTTCGCATTCTTGATTTGTGTCTCCGAAGCATCTAGGAACATGATGAGGTTATCTGCGTATTGAAGGTGTAGCACCTGAATTTCGGACGGAGTTTTCCCTATTACACAACTCGACAACAAACCCACATCTACAACTTTCAAAAGCATCAGGTTCAACACTTCCCCAACGAGATTAAATACACAAGCGACAGCGGACAACCCTGTCTATGGACACGACCAAGGTTAAAACGCTCAACTGTTCACCAGAACTGAAACTGAAGCCGAAGAAATACACGACCAAATCCATTTCCGCCACTTCTCACCGACCTTCAACACTCTTAGGAGAAAACCCCAGTCAACTGTGTCATACGCCTTCCGAAAATCCTTTTTAAAAACCAACCCCAAACGCCCAGTGTTCCTTTCATAATCAACAACTTCATTTGCTATTAATGCACAGTCTAATATTTGCCTTCCTGGAATGAAGGCGAACTGAGACGAGCTAATCAAGGAACCCAAAACTGAACGGAGACGACTAGCTAGTACTTAGAATCTTATAAACCCCACCGACTAAACTAATCAGCTTGAACTTGTCTAACAATTAGGGATTTAATTTCTTAGGAATCAACGAGATGAAGGAAAAATTCAAACGCGGATCCAACTCCCCAGACTTATAAAACTGATCGAAAAAATTCAGAATACCCTATTTCAAATTAGGCCAGAATTTCTTGAAGAAATTAAAGTTGAAATCGTCAGGCCCAGGCGCGCGGTTTCCATCTGAATTCTCGAGAACATGAAATATCTCTTCCTCGGTAAACCTATTCTCCAACCACCCACTATGATGGACATCTAACTTTGGAAATGTAAGGATCAACTTGTCAACTTCTAAGAATCATAGAATATTCTAACCTAATGCAGAATCTTTGGCAAGAAATGGACTACTACCAGTGTATTCAGATGAATTGTAGCGAAGATGCAACTTCCATAAAGAGGTTTGTTGAAAAAGAAAGAATTTACAATTTTCTTACTGGACTAAACGTTGAGTTTGATGTAGTAAGGGTACAGATTCTTGGAAAAGAAGACCTGCCATCACTGAATGAGACTATTACGATCATTCGAGCTGAGCAAAGGAGAGGAGTTATGATTTAAAGCAACCAAGAGGAGAGTTCAGCCCGATCACTAAAGTTGTAACTGAGAGAAAAGCGGGTCTGGAACAACAAGGTACAAAAGAGATAACAAAAGCAGTAAACAGAGACTCTCTATGGTGTACCTACTGCAAGAAACCTCGCCACACAAAGGATAAGTGTTGAAAACTTCATGGAAAGCTACAACCAGTAGGTTAAAATATGCCAAAAAAGGAGGGATCATTAAGGGATCAAGGAGGAGCATATACAACAAAACAATTGGTTGACGACTCTCAAGAACAGCCTGTGGAGTTCAACAAAGAGGAAATAAAGAAATTGAGAAAACTGTCAGGCTCCCTAGAAAAAACCCCCACCAAAACGGAGTAGCAGAAAGGAAAAATGATTATGTTCTTGCCATTACAAGAGCCCTCTTATTTAAAAAAAATGTACCTAAACAATATTAGGGAGAAGCTGTATTGACTGCCACCTATATGATAAACAGACTACCCACTGAAGTCCTTGAATCCCAAAGTCCTATCCAAATCTTAAACAATTTATTTCCAAACTTCAGCCCCTCACTTAACCTTAAAGCTAAAATATTTGGTTGTGTTGCATTTGTTCATATACACTCTCAAAATAGGAAGAAGCTTGATCCAAGGGCATTAAAATGTGTTTTTATTGGCTACTCTTCCACTCAAAAGGGGTACAAGTGCTATCATCCATCTACAAGGAGACATTTTATTTCGTCTGACGTCACTTTTTCAAAAAAGGAAGATTATTATACTTATCCCTATATTCAGGGGGAGATTTCATTCAGATAAGATAATGACAGTGATTATTTCCTTCTTCAGCCTCTCATTAACTTTCCTGAGCAACAACAACCTCTTTTATTTCTTCCCCAATCCAACAACCTCTTGTTTATTCCCCAATCCAACAACCTCTTGTTTCTTCCCAACAGCTAATCCAATAACCTTCTGTTTTGACCAACCTACCACCTAACAACCTGAACCTATTACTCCTCAGTCAAAAATTCATGACACTACTTGTCCTCAGCTGGTTTACTCAAGAAGAAAGGCACCAGTGCAGGCTAAATCATCCTCTTCTTCTCCTATACAAACCGAGGTAACTGCTGAATCTATCTTTGATTCAAATAACGCTGAAATTTCTAATCCTGCCTCTGATCACAGGGATTTTGATTTTCTTATTGCAATTAGAAAAGGAAAAAGGACTTGGACCATAAAAAACCGTCGTTACCTATTTTTGTCTTACAGAAATTTGTCTCGCAATCACCAAGCCTTCCTTACAAGCCTAAACACCATCATCATTCCTAAAACCGTGTCCAAGGCATTAGAAAATGAGAATTAGAAGAATGCCATGTAGGTTGAGATGGAAGCATTAGAGAAGAACAAGACATGGGACTTGGTGAAACTGCTAGAAGGGAAGAAAACAATAGGATGCAGGTGGGTGTTTACAGTAAAATACAAGTCAGATATATCGTTAGAGAGGTACAAGGCAAGGTTGGTGGCTAAGGGGTATTCTCAAACATACGGGATATATTATCTCGAAAAGTTTGCCCCTGTTGCAAAGATGAATATTGTGAGAATTTTACTGTCGTTAGTTGTAAACCAAGGATGGGAATTACAACAGTAACACCTTCTTACATTGAGAACTCGAGGAAGAAGTGTATATGAACATCCCACCTAGATTTAGTCCAAGTGTTGGGCAGAAAGTGTGTAGGTTAAAAAAGGCTTTATATGGATTAAAACAGTCTCCAATGGCATGATTTGGAAGATTTACTAAAGTGATGTTGAAGATAGGCTACAAACAAAGTTAGGGTGATCACACTTTGTTTGTGAAACATTATGGTAAATGGGCAGTTACTTCCATATTGGTGTATGTAGATGACAGTATAGTCACAGGGGTTGATGATCTAAAAAAGTGTTTGGTGAAAGAGTTTGAAGTCAAAGATCTAGGGAGATTGAAATACTTCCTAGGTATTGAAGTGGCACATTCACATCAAGGGATCTTCATATCTCAACAGAAATACACTCTAGACTTGTCAGAAGAGACTGGAAAACAGGGGTTCAAACTAGCAGAAACACCAATAGAAGTGAACCACAAGCTTAGGGATACAATGGAGGATGCAACAATTGGCAGAAGCTCATACCAGAGGCTTGTGGGGAGGCTAATTTACCTATCACATACCAGATCAGACATTGCCTATGATGTTGGAGTTGTGAGCCAATTTATGCACAATCCTAAAGAAACACACCTAAGGGTTGTGAATCAAATTATGCAGTATTTGAAGGGTACACTTGGCAGGGGAATTTTGTTTAAAAAAGAAAGAAATTTGACATTAGAAGCTTATACTGATGCTGACTATGCAGGATCAGTGGTTGATAGAAGATCAACCTCAGGGTAATGTACAATTTTGGGAGGAAATTTAGTGACATGGAGAAGCAAAAAGCAAAATGTTGTGGCTAGATCCAATGCAGAGGCTGAGTTTAGAGCATTGACACTTGGAATCTACGAATTGTTGTGGCTAAAGATTATTTTAGAAGATTTAAAGATTAAGTGGGAAGGTTCAATGAAGTTGTACTGTGACAATAAATCAACAATTAATATTGCTCATAATCCAGTTCAACATGACAGAACAAAACATATTGAAATGGATAGACATTTCATAAAGGATAAACTCGATAGGGAACTAATTTGTACTCCCTATGTGTCCACTGGAGATCAAGTTGCAGATATACTTACCAAGGCACTACATGGTAAGGTTTTTCAGAAGTTACCAGGCAAGATGAAGATGGAAGACATCCAGTCTCAAGCTGATGAAGATGGAAGACATGCACTCTCCAACTTGAGGGGGTGTGTCAGAAAATAAATTCCTAAATTAGGAATATTATGAGTAATTAAGATAGGATTATGTAAATATCACTTAGTAGTTGTAATCCCTAACTTTAAGGGATTGTGTATTCCTTAAAATTAGCTATTTTCCTAGCTAAAGAATTTCCTAAGTTAAGGCTGCTACTTGTATAAATATGTAACACTACCTACAGCAGAAATACATGAGTTTTACATAGAATTTCATTGTTTTTAACAATGTTACTTTTCTTTTTGTCAAATTCTTTCTTTTAATAAAATGAAAGAAAACGATACTAAAGTTGTATCTGCAGAGGTGTGTACCTTCAGTATAACCAGCTTGACATTAGGATCCTCCATAGGCGAGAAAAATTTCAAATAACCGAGAAACCTTTCATTGAAAGAAAAAACATTATTACTATTTCATGTTTCAAACAATTAATGTGACTAGAAGGCCGTTGGCAAACAATTTATAACAGTCATGCAGAAAAGATAGAAATAGAAGCATGATTACAAAGTCCATGGTACAAATACGGAATACAACATTTTATTGGAAAAAGAAACTTGATAGGTCATTTTAGTTGATGATTGATATAGAAGACATGCAAAAGAAACCATATGAACTAGCAGTTACACAAATAGCTAGAAAAAGAAAACGTCTGACCCAATGTTCTTCAGGCATGCACCTAGGCACGCCTAGGCATTAAGAACTAGCACTAGACAACAATAGCATTTCATAACCTTTTGGGAAAGACGCATTTAATCAAGCTACACCTGATGCGCCTGGGCACTCTTTTCCATGAGCCGGTAGGCTAAAAAAATTGACCTTGATATCGTCTCAAGGTTTGCGAAACAAATCATGCATATTGACCAATAAAAGAAAAACAAAATTGAATTCTTTGGTAGGTTAAGATGGGCAATTCCTTATAATTTATATGATAATCATATAATCTATGATAGTATATAATGCACTATTAGTAGAGTAAATCATAAGATGCCGCCACATTAATAAGTAGACATAAAATTCAGAACTCTTCAAAACATAAATACAAAAAACTTAAAAATTTTAATAGGTAGCATCATGTATGCACAGATAGGCATGTATAATCAAAGGAAAATTACAAAACAAAGAATTTCATCCTAAATCACATTGTATGGCATAAGGGTAATTCAAAATACTGAAGAGTTGAAGCACCCTATTAAAGAACACATCATACCAACTGAAATGAAAGGGCATTGAGCTGCTTAGGCCGGTTTAAGGTTACAATTATTGCAGATGAATTTCTAGAGGTAATGGGGAAACATAAATGAACCTCCCAAATACACCGAAGTTAGTTAATCTAAGAGGCAAGTAGAAATGTTGGGAACTCATTGTCCGATAAACGGTTTTGACATATATAGGAAAATCAGCATGGATTGAATTCAATTACAAAAAAATAGAGTTTGAATTGAATTTAAGGTCAACGGAGAAACAAAGAGAGTGTGAGAGGATACGGAATGTTATATTGCTTCTTCTCGAGATTCAAAATCAAGTATTTTGAATGAAGAAAACCCACAATTCCAGAAACAAAAAGACGATACTTAGAGCATCGTAAATGAAGACGCACCTGATCATGTTGGGATGAAGCCATGCGTATCGATTAGCAGTTGAAAGCACAACTCCGATTCCCAGAACCACAATCTATAAGCATCTCAGACGCAGTTTTAATCAAATAGTTATTGGGTTGAGATTAACATTGAAGTCGTGGCTAAATTATTAAAATAATGCCTAAATAATAATTTTTACTAAAATAATATCAGAAAATATTAAATTTCCAAAATAACACCTATTTCTACCGTATAAAAAACATCTAAAATATAAACATAATCTGTATTTTACATGTCACCTGTGTCGCATAAGTAAATGTATTTTATCAACAACCAGTTGATCTAGTGGGATGAGACATTAGATTTCTTAAGTAATGTCAGTAGTTCAAATTTTGACAATCGCGAATGAAATAAACTGGGTTATGAGGGTCCTTATCTCTACAATACTCGATTCGGATTAATCGATCAATAAATCGAATATCAATTATTATAAAAAGCAAATATAATTTATTAAGAGATTTTCAAAATACGCTACATAGACGTCTATGAGGAGTGTGACCTCTATTAACCATTAATGTCACATGAGCAAATGTATTCTTACGATTTCTTTTTGTCAAATTTTATGATTCACGAGTGTCATAAATGTCATGAGTATAAATCATTAATGTTAAATGATTGAAAATTATATTTGAACATATCACCTTATATTTATCTCAGATTAATAAAAAAATATATTAATTTAAACTAAAACGTAATCCAAAGTTTAAATAAAAATAAGTAACAATTTAAATCCACTCAAATAATTTAAGTTCAAAATAACACGAAAAAGTAATTTAAAAACTTAAAACACAACTCGAAAGGACTTTAACAGTAAATGGTTAAAATTAGAAACAATTTAAAGTTACAATTGACTTCATCCAAATGATCAAAATCCAAAACAATCTTAATTCAAAATGATTTAAATTCGAAATAAATTTAAATATGAATGATTGGTCTGAATACCGACTCAAATGACTTCATCACAACATTAATCAAAATGACATGTAAATTTTTAAATTTTAAATTGATCATATACATATATGAGTCAGTCTAAAATCAACTTAACATGTTCAATTAACATATTCCTACTGTTCAACATAAGTTGGTTTTATTGGATTTTATTAAATCTTGAAGTTTAATAAATTCAACAAAATGGCCTTGATTGTGAACTTTTGTTTCGAGTTTTTAGTTTTACTAAATTCTTACCGCTTAACAGAAACTATTCAATTGTTGGGTTTTAGTTTTTGAGTAAAACCTTTTATAATTAATAAGGTACTGAAACAAAATTGTGATATGTTGTTAACAAAAGATTTATTTCAGTATTTAACTATGTTATCAAAAAGAATTTATTCAATTTACTGTTTATAATAGAAATCATTTGAAAAGCAACACCATTATTATAACTTTTGTTTTAGAATTTATATTCTAATTACATTTTGTTGTAACACAATCAGATGATAAAATGAATTGAATTAATTTTTTATTTATTGTTGGAATTATTACAAATTATAGTTTTGTGTTTAAATGAAACAATGGATAACTCGCTGATTTACCTAAATCGTGATATGTAATGTTGGTTCCTACTCAAGCATCCAATAAAATTTAATAATATCGGCGATCATGAGCTACAATGAGAAACTTGTGAAATTCTATTAGAATTTCAAGACATAGAAATAGGGGTGTTCAAATTTTCGAACTAATTCGGTTAACCGACCAAACCGAATTAGTTCGGTTAATTCGGTCGGCCACCGAATTAGTTCGGTCGGTTAACGGTTAAGAAAATTTTTAGAATTTAGTTAACGGTTAATTATGTTCGAATTCGGTTAATTAACCGAATTAAATACATATAATATATATATATAACTCAGCCCGGGCCATAGCCCATCAGACTCATACAACAGCCCACTACCCATTTAAATTTTAAAACCCATTTAAATTTTAAAACTAAATAAAATAAAATAACCTAAAACTAAATGTAAACTTTTACCAATCTCATTCTCATCTCACGATTCTCAGTTCCTCACCCCCACCCGAGCTTTCGCCTTTCATCAAACCCTCATTCCTTCTCTCTCTATCTCTCTAATCTCGATTCAGGTTAGTTTTCTAACTTAAAATTTCTAGATTTTCTCTTTGATTAGTTTACATCTCCACTAAAAATTTTAATCACTTGTTTGATTTAGGGTTTGTGATTTGATATCATTTTTGTGTATGGGATTTTTCTCTTTTCTTTTATTTGTTTACTGTTTCGGTTATGTTTGGTGACCTTCTTGTTCTGGGTTTTTAAGGTATCTTGGTCACAATATCTATGTATTTGCTTCTCTTAAAATTTGATATAAAAGGAAAAATAAAACCTTGCTTACAGAGGAAATGATGGTTGTGCCTGTGTAACTACTACACGAATCCTTTTTTTCTTTCTAATTCTAGAGCTCGAATTCATAAGTGAACATGTGCAAAAAATCTAGAAAGCCATAGGCCACCAATTTACATCTTGACTTGTGGTTTTTTCAGTAGTAAAGAGAAAGCCAAATATTAGCAATAAATTGTCAGAGGCCTGGTGAATTTCAACTTTCTTTCCAATTGCATATTTACCCAACTTCTTTAAAATCCAAACGAGAATGAGCTTTAGTAATTAAATGGTATTTAAGTTCCTTTGGAAAAGTAAAAAGCGGGCCACCACAGAATTTGAAAATTGAAGTCCAGTGGTCTAACAATTAAAACAATGACAAAACTAAATATTTTTTTATGCAAATTGAAAATTTTGAGGGTGAAGCGATAATTATAATGAACAAGTAGGAACCATTTGCTTTTATCCTTTTTCCCTGTATTTGGTTTATTTATCACTCCAGTGTAAATATTCTACTTGATATTTTTGGTGTCAGTCTTTAAATAGTCATTCGTGAAATGTATTCTTTTGTAATAAAAAAATGGTATTTAGTTATGCTTTCTGATTTATTTTGAGTTATGTTATCTTAATGTGATTATTTATTACTTTTTTTTTACTTTTCATATTTTGCTGTAGATATCAAATATGGCAGCATCTGCTAAGGGAAGTGTTTCACCCCCTTTATCAAATTCTACAAATTCAACAACTGAAGCTTCAAGTCAAATCAACAACACAAGAGGGACTGCAAGTAAACGGAAAGCTATTCCTTTAAGGTCAGAAGTATGGACTCACTTTACTAAGTTTTTAAATAGTGAGGGTAAAGGCAAGGGTAGATGCAATCATTGTGAGAAAGAATTTTGTTGTGATGGGAAAAAAATGGAACTGGGTCATTAATATATCACATGAAACAATGTAAGAAAAAACCCTAACAACATTGACACTAATCAAAGCAATTTAGTGTTACCTAGTAAGGATATTCGAGGAGAAGTAGGACATCTCACAACTTGGAAAATTTGATCAAGAAACAACTAGAAAGGTTTTAGCCCAAATGATTGTGACTGATGAATTTCCTTTCAAGTTTGTTGAGAGTGAAGGATTTAGAAAATTTATGTCTATAGCATGCCCCAAGTTTCGTATTCCTTCAAGATTGACTATAACTAGAGATATTTATCAGTTGTACTTGGATGAAAGGACTAAGCTGAAACAATATTTAAGAAGTTCATGTTCTAGAGCTTGTTTAACTACTGATACGTGGACCTCTATGCAAAGAGTTAATTATATGTGTCTCATTGTGCACTTTATTGATAACGATTGGAAATTGAATAAGAAAATCATAAGTTTTTATCCAATTTCTAGTCATAAAGGAGATGCAATTGGGCTGATGATTGAAAAATGCTTATTAGATTGGGGGATTGATAAGTTGTTCACTGTCACCGTTGACAATGCAACTTCGAATGATGTTGCTATTGGTTATTTAAGAAAGATTTAGTCCTCGAGGGGGTTGCATTGCAATGGTAATATCTTCATATAGATGTATTGCACATATTGTGAATTGATTGTTGTTGAAGGTTTAAAGGAAATGAACAAATCTGCTGCACGTGTTAGGGGGGCTGTGAAATATGTGAGACAATCTCCAGCTAGATTGAAAAAGTTCATGGAGTGTGTTGAGATGGAAAAAATTGAGAGCAAAAAAATGTTATGTTGATGTTTGTACTAGGTGGAACTCTACATATTTAATGTTAGACACTGCTGAAAATTTGAGAGAGCTTTTGAGAGATTTGAGGAGCAAGATACAAATTTTAGGGCTGAACTTGAGTTAGGAGAGGGCTGGCCAACTGTAAATGATTGGACTTGTGTTAGAAACTTGAGGGATTTCTTGGAACATTTTTATGAAGTCACTTTGCGAGTTTCAGGTACTTCATATGTCACATCTAACAATTTTTTTTGATGAACTTACTGAAATTTGCATACTTTTAAGGGATGTTCAATTAAGTGCTGATGTTGAATTTAGTGTTATGGCCATGAGGATGAAAGATAAATTTGAGAAATATTGGGGTGATATTGAGAAGATGAATATGCTTGTTTTTGTTGGCTGTGTTTTAGATCCTAGGCAGAAATTAAGTTATCTTGAATTTGCACTTAGTGAGATGTATGATTCAGAAAAAAGTTTTGAAGTGATGCAAAAGCTGAAAGAGACTTTGAATGAATTGTATGATGAGTATAAGCCTCGAGTCTCTAGTGATGGAAACCATTTAAATGTGAGAATTTCTGAACCGCAACAAAAAGTGAAAAGACGCATGAAAGATTTGTATAAAAGGCGTGTGATTGAAATTAGTGGTGAGGATCAAACATCTGAATTAGATAAATATCTAGGGGAGGCTGTTGAGAATTATGATGATGAATTTGATATCTTGTCATGGTGGAAAGTCAATAGCCCTAGATTTCCAGTTCTGTCAAATATGGCCAAAGATGTATTAGTTATACCGCTTTCTACCGTCGCTTCAGAGTCTGCATTTAGTACCGGTGGACGTGTGCTTGATCAATTTAGGAGTTCTTTAACTCCTAAAATGGTACAAGATCTTGTGTGTACTCAAGACTATATTAAAAAGTCATCAACCGAAGAGGAGATCAAGAAGTTTGAAGAACAAATTCAAGAGCTTGACAAGATTGATAATGGTA